CCTCACCGCAGCCACCAGGACGGTCGGTAGTCAGTGCTGGGCAGGTTCCAATAGGCCGTGCCTGCACAGCCTGTTGGTGTGATGTCAAGTGCACGGCGCAGGTAGGCAGTATGCAGTGGGGAGATGGTTATGTGTGGAGCTAAGCTGGATGTGGGAGAGAGGAGAGAGGAACAGGAGCGAAAAAACATACAAACATAAAAGAATGCTAGGGGAACAAACCCAAACCATCAAATTGACAACAGCAACTTGAAAGGTTAGACAGGAAGCTTCGAGGGCAGTGAGTGTATGTTACTGGGGGAGGAACAATTCGGAAAAGGATGGGGAGAATGGTCACACAACTTGAAGAATACAGTCAATGTTGCTGAACGGTACATGTAGAAATTGTTGAATTTGTGTATGTTCTGCTGTGTATATTTTCAACAACAAAAATTATTAATAAAAAAAGATTAAGCTAATTCAGCTAAGAAGCTTAACATTTAAGCACTCTATTTCAAGTTTAGAGAGCCTCCTGATGGCCTGAAGCCTCCTGGAACTGTTCCTGGAGAGCAGATTGACTAGTTCCTACTTTCCTGCTTGGGGAGCAAGAGCTCTTAGCTTTTGGTCATGAAAAGACGAGACCGGAAGGGAGATAATTAGAAGAAAAGGTGGGTCACAGGGGAACCCCAGTTCCCTGAAAGCTGTAATTGACAAGGGCCTCCTTTCCTCTGTCTTCTTTCTCCACAGCCTTAGGCTGGAAAAGACAGATTTGGAGTTAACATTTGTAAATATGCAGGTCAGCCTCATAGGCTGCACACCTCTGGGCAAAGGTTTTACCCAGGGAACTTATCCAAGTCCAATGTTCAGGAAATCCAGCAGAGGCAAATGAATAAATAAATCCTGCAAACCTTTGGCTTTCTGAGAAGGTTTTTTTCACTCTCTGGCTAGGAAGTGTACAAAAGGATCTCCTCTTTATACCAGGCCTCAAAGATGTGGGAGAAAAAGAAATCCAAAATGGGGTTGATCTGACAACCTGTGAGTATTCCCTTTGGAGTACAAACAGTAATGTGTTTTTTTTAAAAGAGCATTTTATAAAATGGAAACTGTGGTTTTTCAGTTTGGATACAGTTGGGCCATCATTAATACTAATTTCTTATAGTTTAAAACTGTTAGAACTGCTGTCTGAAAACCCTTTTACACTAATTTAGAAGGCGGGAACTTGTATGTTCTAAAATTCTACCTGGCTGCTGCAAGCAATTAACGTGCTTAGCTGCTAACCAAAAGATTGGAAGTTTGAGTCCATGCAGAGGTACCTCAGAAGAAAGGCCTGGAGATCTACTTGTGAAAAATCAGCCACTGAAAACCCGATGGAGCACAGTTCTACTCTGACACGCAGGCGGTTGCCATGAGTGGAATCGACTCGACAGCAACTATTCCCCGACCCCCCGCCCTTTAGCTGGTATCCTACTGTGTAAGGCGTTCAGAAACGCTGGAGGACATGCAGATACTAACAAATACCGAGAGTGATTCTTCCGTACTTCAGAAAGTAATGATTTAATTGAAAAAGCAAAGGAAAAAAAAAAGTTCTTCCTGACTGGTCATAGAAGTAATCTGAAAAGATGCTTGAATTGGGCTGTTCCAGGCACACACTACGTACTTGTTTTTACACCAGATGAACAACTGAACAATTGAAAATTCTTCCCCAAGTCAAAGACAAGAATCAACAGGATTCAGAGTAGCAGGTCTTTATAATTCTGTATTGTGCCGCTGATATTCTAGGTTAACACAGAAGGGTTGTCTCAAAAGTGATATTGAGAGCCGCGCTAGTCTCAAAAGAAAAGTCCCTAAATGGACAGATTGTTAACCTCTGACACCTGCAGCAGGCCATCAGCATGCTTGCCAGAAGCAAACCTAATTTCTACTCATCTATTCTGTGCTCCTCTAATGTCCAGTAATAAGGCCACTCTTTCTGAGCTCCCAGTATTTATCCCTACTCAGTGAAACAGGCAACTTTCACAATTACTCCAGCTCCAGAGGACTGTTGAAAAATCGACTTCCAGGAGTATTTTCTGGAAGCCACCATTTCCCAAATTGCTGCCAGCTATTCCTCTGTGGAATGTAATAAATATTCATTGACAGAGCACCGCATAATTGATACAGCCACTTCCATTTTTATCAGCTCTGTCGGAGGCCTTAGTCTTTGCGGGAAACCTCTGGGAGTTGCTGGTGGCTGACAACAAGAAGCTTTTGTGAAGAGCGGAAAGGAGGAAATAAGGTTAATATCTGTTATCCTAAGCGCCGTTCCGAACCTTATCAGGACTTATACACCACCATGAGCATCAGCAGTGTGCAGGCCTATGGGTATTCTGTGATAAGCTATAAAAGACCCAGTATGTTTTTAAATGAATGGTTAGGAATTAAGGAAATTCATGGTGATTTATCAGACAGCAATCATTTAATATGTCAAATCACATTCTTCTTATATACTACTTAAATTTGATTGTGTATTTCAGCACTCAGTTATTTTCAAATTATCCATCAGCATGGATTATTCAGGCTTTGGAGGCAAAAAGTCGTTCAATTTATTTTTTCGAACCTTCAAAATGACATATCCACACAACACTAATTTCAAAGTCCTGAAGTTTACGTGGTTATTTATAATGATAACACCATCTTTTATGTACAGGGTCTGAGTTCAGCTTATAAAGCATTTGGTAATATACAAACACACCACAAACATACAAAAAAATCTAGATATTTTCCAAGAAGCTGTTTATCAGCAGCTGAAACTCTATTCTAGTTTCCTAAAATCCCAGTCAAAACACCTTTTCATAGAGAATCGGGTCTGGACCTTGCTGCTGAGTTTACAAATGTCACTTCAGAAATGTATTACTTCTGGCAATCCAGCTCTGGCCTTTTTGACTATTTCTGCAGTCTGTTCTCTACACTTATGTCTGGCTCTGACCAGATTTCTGGCTGTTTTGTTTTTCAACTCACTGGAATGCCTGTGAAGGTGACCGGAGGGGACTGCCAGGAAATGCTGAAGCTGCTGCCATTGGGGGTGAACTTGGCGGATCCCGGAATGGTCACGGGGGGCGTGGCCTGGGGAACAGAACAGAGAACACTGTGATGAGAGAACGCTTGTCCGCAGAGTGTGAAGCTGCTATTACCAGAATCACGACTATTAGTTGCCGTTGGGTTATCTCGACTCACGGTGACCCTGTGTGTCACCCACATGGGTCACCGCTGTCTTCCATATGGATTTCAATGGCGGATTTTTCAGAAGTAGAATGTCAGGGCTTTTTCTGAGGCATGTAGACTCGAACCGCCAACCTTTCAGTTAGCAGCCAAGAGCGTTGATCGTTTGTACCACCTAAGGACTCCCATGGGAGCCTTGGTGGTGCAGTGCTTAAAGTACTCGGCTACCAACCGAAAGGTCAGCGGTTTGAACCTACTAGCCACTCCACCGGAGAAAGATGTGGCAGTTTGCTTCTGTGGAGATCTGCAGCCTTGGGAACCCTGTGGGGCAGTTCTATGCTGTCCTATAGGGTCACACACTGAGTCGGATTCGACTCAATGGCAGTGGGTTGGTTGGTTGGTAGCCACTCCCATTATCGAAGCAGGGCTGAGGCAACTGTCTCAGCTGAACTGACAACTTAGCCCAGCTACCTGGTCACCGGCTGCTGTTGAGCCAGTTCGGACTCATGTCCACCGGATGTGTGTCAGAGTGGAGCTGCACTCCATAGGGTTTTCAATGGCTGTAATCTTACGGAAGTTGACTGCCAGGCCCCCACTGCCATAGAGTCGATTCTGACTCAAGCTACCCTACAGGAGAGAGGAGAACTGCCCCATAGGGTTTCCAAGGAGCGGCTGGTGGATTTGAACTGCCGACCTTTTGGTTAGCAGCCGTAGCTCTTAACCACTGCGCCACCAGGGCTCCAGTTACTTAATAGGAGGAGGTTAAACTGGGTCAAAAGTGGCTAGAAATCATGTTTTTATATACTGAAGCAGTCTACCTAAGGTATAAAAGGAGATTGTTTTCCACTGTTGATTTCTGGAAAGAGTTTTTATTAGATGTACCTATACCTATTTTAGGACACCTCTGAGATGTTATTTCTTCCCTCAAATTGGGAAATAAAAGCTTTAATATAGTGATGGTGGATGGAAAATTAGGGTAATTTGGCAATATATATCAAAATCCTTAGCATGCTGCATATTAGCAATTCCATTTCTAGGAAGCCATTCAAGAGTCAGGAATAAAATTTATTGCATCAGCTAATTTAACTCCACTGCTCTTAAATTTAACTCAGCTAAATTGGTGGCTGACTTCTTCCTCTATGAGTTTAGTTTTTCTAATTACAAATATATATGCTAATGACAGGGTTTTGTAATTGGCAGCATTGGAAAGTATTTTGGCAGTTCACAGCAAGAGCCATAAAATGTTCATATTAGATCTTCTGACTCAGTAACTGCTCTTCTGGGAATTTAAAGAAAAAACAAAGCTCGAGACACAGAGTTGTTCCTAATAGAGTTATTCATATTGAAAATACTTGATAGGCTGAAAAATGGAGTACATACCCAACAATAAGAGAACGGCTAAGATGATTATGGTGTATTAATTCAATAGTATCCAATACTGTTCAGTCCCATGGCAAGTTTTTATAAAACAAGGATAAGGGAACACGATGACAAGTATGTGAAAGAGACTTGAAAAGACTGCATACAGTGGTTATGAATGATGGGTCAAATGTTTTCTTAGAATGGGTTAAAAGTTTATTAAAACAAATTAACATTTAAAAGCATTAATAACTGCTAGGGAAAAGGAGCATTACCCATCCACTGTGTTTGCAGGATTCCTCTTGAATATCTCATCAGCAGTTCTCAGCTCGGGGAGCACCTGAAGGGCCTGTTACAACGGGGTACTGAGAACTGCCGCTGAGCTGCGGGTCTAGGTCTGGCTGGGGCCTGAGAAGTCACATTCCTAACAACACGTGCTCGGCTGCTCACCAAAAGGTCAGGTCTGCAGTTAGAAGCCACCGGCTGCTCCACGAGAGAAAAGGCCTGTTTCTGTGAAGATTATAGCCTAGGAAACCCTATGGGGCAGTTGTACTCTGTCACAGGGGTCCCTACGAGTTGGAACTGACTCACGGGCACACAACAGCAACATATTCTCAGGTGACACTGATGCCTGATTGGGGAACATACTTTGAAATCCACCACTGTAATCTGGGGGTGGTTAATCACCCATTTAGAATGCAGGCCGTGAAGTCCCCAATTTGGTGTGCGGGGGGATTCTGTCACTGTGTCAAACTTTTCCAGTGCTTACCTTTTCATATATTGTATTTTTTATTTAACAGACACTTATAAAATGTTCCAGGCAGCATTCTGAGGGCTTCATACTATAAGGATTTTAACCCTCATAGTGAACTTTATGGGCTCAGGGCTTCAGTTAGCACTGGGGAGCTGGGAATACCCACAGGGCCCCATCTGTGTGAGATACTGGAATCAGTGGAGGAGAAGAGAACTGGACTCCGCTACTGGCTGGCTGCAGCGTACGATGCTGATTTCCCCCGAGTTACCCTGTACTCACACAGCTCAGACGTTAGTGTTTTTGGTCAGGGGTCAAGGTGATTTCTCTCAGAGTCCCTTCAAGTCACCTGGTAAGCATGGTCGGTGTGCACGAGGTAGAGGGTGGTGGGGGCGGAGCGGCTCAAGGGTGTCATCAATTTCGTCTCTGTTTTGGCACGAGGAGTCTCCCCTGGGCTTGAGTCGGGGATGGGGAAAGTAGGAGGCGAAGCCAGGGACTGGGAAGGGGACACTGGGGCTGGGCTGCCCAGGCCGTCCACCACGGAGTCGGTGTTGAGCTTGATCTCTGTGTAGTAAAAGTCCTCTTCTCCATCACTGTAGTCAGAGTCCCCAACACGCCTAACGAGAAAGAGAGCAAAGCAATCGTACCAGGCCTGGCCGTCCTCTGGGCTCGAAACTCCTGCACATGTTCTGTCCAGAACGCTTTTCCTCTCGCTTGTCTGCTGGCAAACTTTCTTATCCTGCAACACCCAACTGTCACCTTCCAGGGGAACCTTCCTTGACCTCTTAAGGCAATTCACTTATTCATTCATTCACTCAATCGCTCAACAATTTACTGAGAATCTATTACGTCCAGGCATGGTTCTAGGGTCTCCTAAGTTTACAGTGAAAAGCGTGTGTAGTCTCTGCCCTGACAGAACTTAGAGGTTGGTGAGAGAGACAGACAAGAAACCCTTTATGGTTCTTTATAAAATAGACATTTAATACATCAAGTAGTGATAACTCCCATAAAGAAAAAACAGGCAGTGAAGAGTATCTGTAAGCAGAGTTGATGATTGTGGGGTGTGTTAATTTTCAGTAGTCAGGGGAAGCTCACTGAGAGGCAAGGCTCGAGCAGAGACCCGAATGAAGGGAGGGAGAGAGCTGGGCAGAAACCTGTGGGAAGAAGGTACCCGGGAGGAGCCGCACAAAGGCCCGAGGGGGTGGGCTTGGCATTTAATCAAATCACAGAGAGGCCGGTGGCTGGAGGCCATGGTATGAGGGAGAGGGTAAGGAAGAAGAGGTGGAACAGAGGCAGGACCATGGAGGGCTTTGTAGCCTGTGATAACTGCATTGCATTCTCAATGTAATGGAAGCCAACAGAGGGTTCTGAGTGATCTGATTTACTTTTTAAAAGGATCATCTGGCTGTTGTCTAGTTAGGACCCAACTCCGAACCGTTCAGGCCTCTGTGCTCCATCTGAAGAGTGTTCATCCCTTTAATTAATTACCTGCCACATTTCTGTAATTGTTTCTTCCCTCTTTATCACTTCACTAAGGTTGTGATTCCTTAGGACTCTGTCGTGTTCATCTTTGTGTCCCTCGTCCCTAGTAGGTATTTGACATGGAGTTGGTACTTATTAAATGTTGGACGAACAAGCGCATGGAGAGGAAGTCATTGCAGCCCGGAGGTTAAGTGCATGGTATCTCAAGTCATACTTCCTAGGTTCCAATCTTGAGTCGGTCACTTTCTAGCTGCGTGTATGGTTTTAGTAACCTACACGTAGTTCCTGTGCCTCAGTTCCTTCATTATACCATGGGGATAATGATAGTGCCTTGCTTAGTATGAGGATTAAGTGGATCAGTATTTATAAAGTGCTTGGAAGGGACACCTGATGCATAGCGGGCACTGTATCGTTCATTTAAAAACGGCTACATCAGAGACCCTCAATGCCTCATGATTTCACCATCACCAGGAAAGCTTCTGAGGGGCTTCGAAGTTCTCCTGCTCGGGACACGGGACACTGTACTTTTCACTCTGGGAGACGGAGACTGAAAAATCCACAGACGTTTTTGAGGAAAATAAAGCGACTCCAAACAGGTTGAGTACATTTGTCACTTTGTGGAGAGGTGATGCATAGGAAGCCACCCGGCTTTACAGGCTGGCTGAGCAGAGGCCCCTTTACATCCTCCTTCCATGGAGTATCCCCTGAATTTCATGGACACACCCAGCAGCCACAAATCAATGACTCGGAAAAAATAAAAAATTTCCCACTTACAATCCCTACATAGAACCTACAATAAAACCCTCCCGCTCCCTAGGCCCTTTCTGTTCGGCTGAATCACTAACTTCTCCAGGCCCAGCTCAGTTGCCCCTGAGCTCGCAGGAGGAGACGTCTGGGGAGGTGTCTTGGTCCTGGATCAGGTCTGGTAGGCGTGGCTTTCCGACAAACATACCATTAGAGACCCCAGAGAGTGGGACAAAGAATGTGCATCTGTTCTATTCCTGTCCCCACTTCCTTTCCAGTAAAAGGCGGGCCAAGTTGCAGCTGGCTGCCCAGTGCTACTAATAGACACGGAGCCCTGGGGGAAACTGTGTGTCCTAGTTGGGGATAAATCCAGACTGGCCCCTGGTGTACAAGGACAGAGTGAGAAACAAACAGTACACTTTTTATACCGGCCTGGTGTGCACTGCAGCTAAATCAGAAGAGGAAATATTTTCTGCGGGCGTTGATATGCTCCCTCCTCACCCTCACACACAGCCAACACTCATTAAAAATGTCCCACTGTGCTACAGTCTTTGAATCCAGCCCATGGAGTAAGGCACAGGCTATTTTTCTCTCCTGGTCCGTGAGAGAGCTCAAGTCCTGGGCTGCATGTACGCACATCTGCCTTGTAGTCCTGCTAGCCCAGGCCCATCCCGGGAATGGCTGGCAGGGCTGGGAATTCTTAGGCTTCTGGGCAATTTAAGGGCACATCAGTAAAAACGGGATGCTAGGGAAGCAGACTGGGCAAATCTGCTGCAAAAAGACCTCTTTAAAGCAAAGACGTCACCTTGAGGACTAAGGTGAGCCTGACCCAAGCCATGGTATTTTCAATCGCCTCATATGCATGTGAAAGCCGGACAATGAAAAAGGAAGACCGAGGAATTGATGCCTTTGAATTGTGTTGGTGAAGAATATTGAATATGCCATGGACTGCCAGAAGAACGAACAAATCTGTTTTGGAAGAAGTACAACAAGAATGCTCTTTAGAAGGGAGGATGGAGAGACTTCGTCTTACGTTCTTTGGACATGTTAGCAGGAGGGACTAGTCTCTAGAGAAGGACATCATGGTTGATAAAGTAGAGGGTCAGCAAAAAAGAGGAAGACCCTCAACGAGACAGACTGACACAGTGGCTGCAACAATGGGCTCATACATAGCAAAGACTGTGAAGATGGCGCAGGACCAGGCAGGGTTTTGTGCTGTTGTACACGGGGTCGCTATGAGTCGGAATGGACTCGAGGGCACCTGCCAACGAACACCAACAAGGCAAGCAAGTGAAGTGGCTGCGTTCTGCGTGTCACTCACTGCAAAGCACCCCAGGAACTCAAAGGAAATTGGTGTATCCACTTAACAGTCTATAAAAACATATAAACAGCATGTGCGTCCATGTGGTGCTGAATGGGATTCAATTTTCTGGGCAGACAGCCTTTAAAACAAACACCTTACCTCCTGGCTAAAACTTCAGGAAGCTGTTTCTACCTCCTTAAGTAACTGAGCTATTTACACTGTGAATTGTCCTGAGAGGAGATTCGAGGAGACACACTGCAGGAGGCCTGTCCGAGAGCCTTTAGAACAGCAGTGAGGGCACTGTGCCCTGCAGAGACCCAGTGTGGTGGGGAGCAGAAGCCCAGGCTTCTCTGGCCACACGCAGCACCCACAGCGTTGTGACCTTCCGGTTCAGTGCTTGGGAAGGGTCTGGCTGTGTCCTCGAACATCAGCCATAGGTTAGGGAGTTCCATCCCTCTTCTCTCCACAGCCACTGCTGGAGCTGACCATCAGATCAGCAATGTCACCTTAGAACCCATTTCTGTTTTCTGCCTGTACTGCTTTTTGTGGATGACGCATTCCCTGAATTTATCCCTTGCTGGGTAAAATGACTCTTGCTTTTATCTCTCAATGCTTACCTTGTTGAAAGGCCTCCTCTGGGGCCAAGCATCTGGGGGCTCGGTCACGTGTTTGTGTTTGCCTTATGCACACTGGCCATGATTTACAGCTTCTTAAGGTCCCTTCTAAGTTGCAGATCATAGGACAAAAAAGACCAGAGACTAAAGTACAAGACCGCTGAACCTCCCCTGCCCCCTGGTGTGGCTCCCAAAGCTTCATTTTACTTTCCTTAGAGACGATTTCTATAAAGGTTCCCAATTGTACCTATTGCAGGTGAGGAATTAAGTGCTCCATAATACAAGGAAAAGTGTACACTATATAGAGGGCCTATTTGATCAACAAAGCAATCGAGCCAAATTATCAGGCATCATAAGAACAGCAACAGCAATGCTGACTGACTGAGTGATTTTTAACCCTTTTAAGTTACACATGTCTTTGATACTCCAAGTTATGAGTACTCTTCATTGAGAAAAAAATGCACATGTAGTTTTACAATTTCAGGGGGTTCAGGGGCCCCATGAAATCCACCCATGGATCCCAGGTTAGAAACTCCTACCCTAGCATTTTATAATCCACAAGTCACTCTCACTTACATTATCTCTTGGACTCTCATAAATGACCCTGCAGGGTCTACATTATTATTAACCTCATTTTTCAAAGAACTAAGGCTCAGAGCAGTGACTTCCTGACATCACTTAGTGAGTAAATTATTCAGGTTTCACAACTTAAAATTCTTTCTACTGTGCCGTGGTGGCCAAGATTATCTGCAGCAGCCACCTCTATATACTGGTTAGGGAGACCAAGCAAACCCCAGTGTCTTTTTCTGTACTCAGAACTTTTAAGGAACGATGTGATGTGTAATTTCTGGGTGCAGGTGGCCCTAGACTGAAGTGATGGACACCACGCCAAAAAGCCAGCTTGCCAGTGAGGGCTGCCTTACCCAAGATGAACGGTCCGGATGTGTTTCTGGATGCCGGCCGCGGTGCTCAGCACCTTCCCACAGTTTTTCCACAGGCATTTGAACATCACTTTCATGGAGTTCTACAAAGGAGAGAGAAAGTTACCTTAAAGTGAAAACTGACCCATTTTATTTCCGTCCTCCAAACATACATTTGTTTTTTTATTAGAAAAGTAACAGCTTCGCATCCTTTTTACCGTAACTTGGCCACTGTTTCTAGGAAATCCCCAGCTGATGAGTATCTCAGTGACCTCTGACATTTTCCCACATCCTTCATGAGAACCGAGCTCTGCTGGAATGTTTCACTTCACGTTTATGGAGGTGGCCACAGTGTCATTTAGCCTTGAATAATGGTGGCTAACATTCACGGAGCACTCACTATGTGCCAGGTGCTGTCCAAAGTGTTTATCTCATTTAGTCCTAGAAGACATATCCTAGGATTATCCCCATTTTGCAGATGCATAGAGAGCTTCAGTAAGTCATGCCCAGTCTAAAAACTGGTTAGTGGCAAAGCTAGAATATGAATCCAGGGAGCCTGGCCCCAGGAACCACCCTCTCCACAGTACACAATTCTGCCTTCTTCAACAACGGTCTCAGTATTTTCCAAAACAGTCCAGCACAGTGGTTGAAAGCACTGATTTTAGACTTACTTTCTTGGGGGGTCAGTCTCTTATCTGTAAAATAAGAACAATAATAGTTCCTGTCTCCTAGGGTTATTACATGGATTGAATGAGGTCATGGAAGTGAACCATTTAGTGGAACACCGACAGGAGTAAGTATTCAAGATGGTGGCTATCACGGTATATGCTGATTATGCTTCCTGGAGTTAAATTTCACAGGAGAATGAGTGCTCTCCATGGAGGTCTCTTGTTGGGATGCTGTCTCTTTGCTGGCTGTTTACTCAGGCATGGTGACAGACACTGCATGTGTTCAACAAACTCCACTTCTTTCTCCTCCTGGCCACAGAGCTGGACCTCCTTGCCCAGATCCCTGGCAGTCAATTGGAGCCATGTGACTGAATTAGGGCCGTGGAATGTAGACAGAGTGATATACACCCCTCCTAAGCCTCACCCCTAAATACTCCCTACTGCTGTCTCCTCCACCCTCCCCTGACTTGCTGTGCTGACTAGGTGTGCCAGTCCGAAGGCGATAGCAGAACCACTGGGTCGGGGTTCTTTGGTTTGCCATGGTCCTTTCTACAATCTGGTGACACCTCTGCATCCCTTCTCAGAACAATGTTTTTTAATGGACAAAATAAAATACACAGGATTACCAAAAAAAGCAAGGACACTGAAATACGGTTATCAAAATATTAAAAATATTTTGTGACATAGTAACATATGTACTTTTTATTAACGTATTAAATACTACTGTAATTTCAAAGTAATATTAAGGTGTCATATTTCATGACAGCTGCTACAACTGGAGCATGATATGAAAACATCTATTATTTTTATTGGTCACAAAGTGCTAATATTATTGTGGTTTGATGCTCTCAATCATAACTGAAGGAAATACTAAATTAGTTATAAAGTTAGTAACAATAAAGATATGCTTCCCCCTCTCCCATCCAAGTTCCTTCATTAGAAAAGTGACAGCTTTGTGGACCCTAGGTTAAGAACCCCTGCCCTTGGAGGAAGGGGCCTGAGTCCCTGGAGGACGGTGTGGTGCAGAGACCTGCCCCTTCTTGCCATCTGCATTAGCGTACGACGTGAGAAATAAATAAACCTTTACCGCGTTAAGCTGCTGAGGTTTGGAAATGAGTTGTTACAACAGTAAACCTATCCTGCTAATAAACAGTGGTGACACCTTCCTGAACTGACGGGATTTACTTAGCTTTGATAAACGTGTCTAGTAGGATTTCTGCCATGGAGTAGCTGTGATTCCCGTTGTCATAAGCCTGGTTCTATGAAGCAGTCACTTGTGTGTTTAGCTGATGCATCTAGCTATAACTGATGGGATGAGTATCCTGTTGACTGAACCAGACAGCCACCTTCACTGAAGCCTTTCTTGATGTTTCTGAATTGAAAAGGCTTTGGAAGCTCCCAGAACTGAGGCGTGTCCTGTGTGTTGGGAATGGTCTCTCTCAACACGGCAGGTAGAGAACAAAGGGCGGTAGCACGTTGCTGCGGTCTGCTGGAGTAGATCAGTGACAACAGGAGGAGCCCACCGTTCAGTGGCCTGCTGTGCCAAGAGGCTCTGCCCTGGATGGCCCGCTGGCATCCTTCTCCCAGCTCCTGGGTCTCACAACCAGCTCAGTGATGCTGCCCTGGTGATATGCAGGACCGAGCTGGAGCTACAGGAGCTGGAACTAAAACTGTTAGTGGGATGTGAAGATGGTGAGAAGCAAAGAAACGCTATTGTTGTATGCTGTCAAGCTGATTCCATAGGAGGCTTTGATGTCCATGCTCCTGATGAGTCTGTGTTTATTCTAAGAAGACAGCTCACAATGCTCAGGCTCCTTGATCTGCTCGGGCCACTGATCTAAATACCTGCGAAGTAAGGTGAGCCCAAGGAGGAGAGTTTCAGTCCTGCCTCCCCTACGGCCCCAACGGCCACAAAAAAGGAACTCTGTTTGGTAACTTTTATTCAAAGCATGTAACTTGACCTATCAATATTAATGAACAAATCCTCACACTGTGAGTGCTTTCCACCCATTTTCAAATGATGAAGTTACACTTAAGGGAATCCAGGGAAAGGGACTCAAACAGAAATTACAGGCACCTGCTAGTCCACATGTCTGTCTGATTAGAGAGTTACTGTAGATCAGAACAATTTTTGATTCATTCAAAACATTTTTGCTGATGACATTTCTTCAATTAAGTATTTATTAAACACCTACTATTTAGCAAAGCCATCACTTGCCTGTTAGTTTGCACACTGTGGTAGCTTGCATGTTGCTGTGATGTTGGAAGCTATACCACTGGTATTTCAAATACCAGCAGGGACACCCGTGGCGGACAGGTTTCAGTGGAGCTTCCACTAAACTGAGAAGAAGGACCTGGCGATCTAATTCTGAAAAAATGGGCCGAAGAAAACCTTAGGGGCAGCAGCGGGGCACTGTCTGATATAGTGCTGGACGATGAGCCTCTCAGGTTGGAAGGCACTCAAAACATGACTGGGGAAGAGCTGCCTCCTAGAGTCGACCTAATGACCTGGATGTTGAGAATAAAGCTGTCGGTACCTCCATTGCTGATGTGGCACGACTTAAAATGAGAAGAAACAGCTGCAAACATCCACTAGTAATTGGAACATGGAATGTATGAAGTGCGAATCAAGGAAAATTGGAAGCCACCAAAAAGGAAATGGAATGAATAAAGATCAACACCCTAGGCATTACTGAGCTGAAATGGCTGGTATTGGCCATTTTTTTTAAAAAATGGTGCTTTAGGTAAAAGTCTACAGAGCAAACCAGTTTCTCATATTGTTTTGTGACATTGGTTGTCAACCCCGCGATGTGACAACACTCTCCCCTCCTCAAACTTGGGTTCCCCATTTCCATTTGTCCAGCTTTCCTATCCCCTCCTGCCTTCTTGTCCTTGCCTCTGGGCTGGTGTGCCCATTTAGTCTCGTATACATGGTTGGACTACATGTGGTACTGTTTTATAGGCCTGTCTAATCTTTGGCTAAAGGGTGAACCTTAGGAGTGACTTCAGTATTGAGTTAAAAGGATGTCCAGGGGCCTAAGTAAGAAAGACCTTGACTATATCCTACCTGAGTTTAGACACCTTCTCAAGAATAGATTTGATGCACTGAACACTAATGACCAAAGACCAGACAAGTTGTGGGATGACATCAAGGACATTATGAATGAAGAAAGCAAAAGGTCATTAAAAAGATAGGAAAAAAAAAAAAAAAAGACCAAAATGGATGTTGGAAGAGACCCTGAAACTTGCTCTTGAATGTAGAGTAGCTAAAGTGAAAGGAAGAAATGTGAAGTAAAAGAGCTGAACAGAAGGCTACAAACGGCAGGTCGAGAAGACAGAGGAAAGTATAATGAAATGAGATAGAAAATCAAAAGGGAAGAACATGCTCAGCATTTATCAAGCTGAAGGAACTGACGAAAAAATTCAAACCTTGAGTTGCAATATTCAAGGATTCTATGGGCAAAAAACTGAATGATGCAGGAAGCATCACGAGAAGATGGAAGGAATACACAGAGTCACTGTACTAGAAAGAATTGGCTGACATTCAGCTGTTTCAGGAGTTAGCATGTATGATCAAGAACCGATGGTACTACAGGAAGAAGTCCAGCCTGCACTGAAGACATTAGAGAAAAACAAGTCTGCAGGAATTGATGGAATACCAATTGAAAAGTTTCATCAAAGACAGATGTAACACTGCAAGTGCTCACTCATCTATGCCAAGAAATTTGGAAGACAGCTCTGGCCAACTGACTAGAAGAGATCCATATTTGTGCCCATTCCAAAGAAAAGTGATCTAATGGAATGTGGGAATTATAAAAAAATATCATTAATACCACATACAAGTAAAATTATGCTGAAGATAATTCAAAAACGGTTGCAGCAGTACATCGACAGGGAACTGCCAGAAATTCAAGCTGGATTAAGAGGACGTGGAACAAGCGATATCATTGCTGACATCAGATGGATCTTGGCTGAAAGCAGAGAATACCAGAAAGATGTTTACCTGTATTTTACTAACTGTGCAAAGGTATTCAACTGTGTGGATCATAACAAATTATGGATACTGTTGTGAAGAATGGGAATTCTGGAACACTTAATTGTGATCCTGTGGAACCTGTATATAGACCATGAGGCAGTCATTTGAACAGAACATGGGGATACTGCATGGTTTAAAATCAGTAAAGGTGTGTGTCAGGGTTGTATCCTTTCACCATACTTACTCAATCTATATGCTGAGCAAATAATCCAAGAAGCTGGACCATATGAAGAAGAATGTGGCATCAGGATTGGAGGAAGACTCATTAACAACCTGCAATATGTAGATGACACATACTGCTTGCTGAAAGTGAAGAGGACTTGAAGCACTTACTGATGAAGATCAAAGACTATAGCCATCGGTATGGGTTACATCTTAACATAAAGAAAACAAAAGTCCT